AAAAAAAAAAAAAAAAAAAAGGCTGCAGGAAAGAGAGAAGTGGGGGATTTTTACAAACAGGGCAATCAGGGAGGCTTCTCTGCCAAAGGAGATGGATGCAGAGCAGAGGGGGCACCCCAGGCAGAGGGCCTGTGCTGGAACCACACAGGCATTAGTGCAGCTGAGCGGAGTGGGCAAGGGTAGGAAGAGGTCACAGGGCACTGGGGTTTGGCCAGACCTGAGGCACTAACGGCCTTGGGGCCTGTCCCCCACCCCCACAGCTCTGCTCCTGGACATCATGACTGTGGCCAGCGTTCAGAAGCTCATCAAGCGGCGTGGCCCGTACGAGACGAGCCCTGGTCTCCTGGACTACCTCACCATGGACATCTACGCCTTTCCTGCCGGGCACGCCAGCCGTGCAGCCATGGTGTCCAAGTTCTTCCTCAGCCACCTGGTGCTGGCAGTGCCCCTGCGCGTCCTGCTGGTGCTCTGGGCCTTCTGTGTGGGCCTGTCCCGGGTGATGATCGGCCGCCACCATGTCACAGATGTCATCTCAGGCTTCGTCATCGGCTACTTCCAGTTCCGCCTGGTGGAGCTGGTCTGGATGTCCTCCAACACCTGCCAGATGCTCATCTCAGCCTGGTGACCCGCCAGCCTGGGTGGGGTGGCTCGAGAGAGGCGGGGCAGGCAGTAGGGGAGAGCTGGCCCAGCTCCCCAGAGTCGGATCCAGCCACCCCATCTTTCCCATCATGGTTGGAGGCTGGCCACCCAAGGCCAGGTCACCCAAGGCCGGCCCACCCCAGGGACTGGCACGTTCTGTAGTGCCAGCTCTCTTGCTCTAAGTCTCTTTTCTAGGCAGGTGGGAACCCACCCTGCGGAGAGCCCAGTTTAATTTCTGCTCTGGACATAAGTGGCTTGAACCAAGATGCTGTGAAGGGCCGAGCCTCATCTTATCCTTTCTTTGTCATGACTGTTGAGTTCTTGGCCATGCCCATGACTCCACAGCACAACGCCTACCAACATACCCCCACCTACCCTGACGCAGGTGCCAGTGCCATTAGCTTAGGGCAGCACTTTCCAAAGGGTGCCCGGTAGGACAGCAGCCTGCAAGATGCTTGGGGGGGAAAGGGTTTCGTGGTCCAATAAGTTTGGGAAGTGCTGCATACTCTGCCCCCATGTTGGACGTTCACAAGGGCCACTATTGTCATAAAGGCTCTGATAAAAAGCTTCCCACTGAACCTTCTTTAACCCATGTTTCCTAAATATATTTGACCACAGAACCCTTTTCTTAAGGAACACCTATTAACCCCCAAGGAACCATCCGTTCCTCAAGTGCATTTGGGAGCTGCTGCCCAGGAGCTGAAGGCCCTGGGGTGTGAGCTGGCCTCTCCCAGCACCCAGCCCCAGAGCCTGGGGAGACCAGGTGCAGGTGCCACAGCCCCTGGGCATCGGTGCGGCTTTGGCCCCCAGGGGCCGGACTCTGTGTGACCTAATAGGTCGTTTCCAAGTCAGCTGTTTATGGATGTGCATTTCATGGGACAATACAGATGACATGCCAATGGACCTCTCCTGGGTGGTTTTCTCCCTTATGTGATGCAGTTGCTGCAGACACATTGCTATTCCCACACAAGAGAGCCTCTGTTAACATGGTGGGGGGCTGATGTCTTTGGTCCCAGACAGCACCATGGGTATGGTGGTTGGGAGCAGTGGGTATGGGCAGGCTTGCCCTGGACTTTTCCAGGCTGGCAGAGGGTACAGGCCAGGAGGCCAACCCACCTAGGCCTGTCACAGATCAGTAGGAAGCTCAGCCAGAGGCCTCGAGCTCCCTGAGCCAGCACCTCGAGTGTGAGCACTTAGCCACAGATCCTCACCTGGGAGCCACCCTCTGATGCTGGGTGATCAATGTGCCCATTTCACAGAAAAGAAAATTGAGGCCCTGAGAGGGCAGGTGACTTTCCCAAGTTTGCCCAACCAGGAGGCACCAAGTAGGGCATGACCCAGTCTATGTCAGGTGTCCAGAAATCCTCAATGATCCTGGGCTGTGTCACTCTGCTCTCTGCCTCAGTTGTCACATAACCTTCTTCCTGTGTCTGTGTGTTTCCCTGTCTATGAGTATGTCCTCTTTTTTTTGAGACAGAGCCTCAAGCTGTCCTCCTGGGTGGCATCACAGCTCACAGCAACCTCCAACTCCTGGGCTCAAGTGAGTCTCCTGCCTCAGCCTCCCAAGTAGCAGGGACCACAGGTGCCCACCACAATGCCTGGCTATTTTTTGGTTGCAGCCATCATTGTTGTTTGGTGGGCCCAGGCTGGATTTGATCCCGCCACCTTAGGTGTATGTGGCTAGCGCCTTAGCTACTTGAGCCATAGGAACCAAGCTGAGTATGTCCTCTTATCACAAGGACAATAGTCATACTGGCTTAGTATGACCCTACTCCCCTGTGACCTTATCCTAACTTACTAAGACTTATTTCCAAATAAGGTCTCACCCACAGGTACTGGGAGTTTGGACACCAACATTCATCTTTGTGGAAGGGGACACAATTCAACCCATGACCACAGGATCCTTGGGGCAGGGGGAGGAAAACTTCCTCTCCCAGTCAGCCCCATAGGTGGGGTCTCCAAGGCACAGTGGCCTTCCCTGGCCTGCCTGCTGGCCCACCCTCCTGCTTCAGGGACTCCTCATCCCCAATGATGGGGGTCTGCCCAGGGCCAATCCCCCTGCAGACAGGACCCAAGACCCTGCCTGCCCTCCCCGGGGTCCTGGCTTCTCACCAGAGCCTTACGAGTACAGCCCTGCCAAGGGAGGTGGGAGAGAATGTGGGTGGGGAGGGAAGCAGGAGGGCAGATGTGCACCTTGTGACCTATGTTGCCTGAGGAGTTGGGAATACAGGATCCAGCCAGGCCACCACAGTTCAAACCCCAGGGTCCAATCTTGAACCCTGGCTGGGTAAGACACCTCCTGCACATTCCCACGGTGTTCAAGCTGCCACCTTCCCTCCTCGCCCCCGCCCTCTGGAATCTGTCTCCCACAATGAATCCAGCTCCAATGAATCCTGTCTCCAGATGGGGACAGGCATCTGCGGCCTAGGACTCACATCCCCAGCAAGGACACAGGTCCCCAGGGTTTCTGCCTCTGCAGGTGACAGAGAGGTAGGTGAGGAAGGGCTTCTGGAGAATGGAAACCTCTCAGCAGATCTAAGGCTTGGACGGGACCGTGGAACCCCAAGAATGCCTGGCACACTGCTAAGAAGGAAGGCTCCAGAAGGCAGCTGGCATGCCTCCTGGGAGCCATCTCCTGGGGGAAGGCGCAGCAGCTGGTGCTGGCCCAGGCCAGCGCCAGCACTTCCTGCCAGTGCTGACGTCCCATCTCAGAGCCCTGGTGTCCTCATCTGTCAAAGAGGGATGACAGCGCCTCCCAGGGTGCCCCCCACATGGGGCCTGGCACAGCGTGGGGTCTGTGCTAGGTTCCTGGCATTGGTGTCCCTGGTGGCAAGGAAAGAACCAGGAGATGTCTGGGCTGGCACAGCTGTTGGCTTAAATCTGATAAGGGCTCTGACTAGGGTGTGGCTTTTTTTGGACTTAATCTCTCTGGGACTGATACATCTCTGCAGCCCCGAGAGCCGTGAGAAGAGCTGCCATCCTCTAGCAATGACCTATCTGGGGGTGTCTGCAAGAGCCAAGCCTGACAGGAGGCGGGGAGCTGCCAGACTCCTGTCCTGCAGAGGGCCCGGGTGGAGAGGTGAGTGGGAAGCAGCTTACATGACAGCTTCGAACACCTTAGTCACGGAACAGGAGAGGACCATGTGTGTGTTCTTGGGCCAGGTTACTGAGCTGTGTGGTGGCTGCCACCTGCACACCCAGGATAAGCCCCACACGGTTAAGACGCATGGCCCCCAAATACTGCCGGGCTGGATCAGGGGAAGACTGTGTCTGGGCTTCTCATGTCAACGACGTTTGTGAGGAAGGTTTGTCTATTTTTCTTGCTTCATCTTGTCTGTGTCTCCCTTGGTTATCTGGGATATGTGGGCCTCTTCCGCGTCTCCAGGAGTGTGTGTACAATCGGTGTCACTTCTGTCTTTATCCCTCACATCTCAGATCTCTCTCTCATTGCTACCCTCTCAGTAGTCACTCTCTTCGCGGAGCTGTGGGCCAGCTTCTTCCACGATTTGAGGGGAGGTGACAAAGGAGAGGGCTATATGTCCATGGCCTGGCTTGGGCTAGCCCATCACCTTGTCAGGTCATAAGGCTGGCTCTATCCCTATTTTACAAATGAGGAAACTGAGACTCAGAGAGAAAGTCATTTTCCCGAGGTTGCCCAGCCAGGATGTAGAGGAGCCAGGACTGGAAATGAGGCCAGAGTAGCCCCAGAGCAGAGACACACTCCTAAAAACAGAAAAGCAGGGCACCCCCCAACCTTAGAACACGGCTGAACTGGTGAAGTGACACCCTCTCCCATGGTCTGTGAGACCCAGGCCGGGGGCTTCAGCCCTTGCCCACACAGGCTGTGTTCCTGGAGCCTGGAGCTGGCCCTGAATTTGCCCAAGCCGCCCACCACCCCTGCTGCTGTGGCCAATGTATTCACGGAAGGGGTACCCAGGGACTCCCTGCAAGAATCACAAACATGGGAACCTGAAAAGGTGATTTTAAATGTGTCCTTTCACCCCCTGAGCAGGATAAGGAGGAATTGTGTGGCTTGTCCTTGGTTCCATTCTGGCCACCATAGCATGTTGAGCAGAGTCTGGGGGTGTCTTTTCAGACAGAAGGGCTGGCTCATGTAAGGGGAGAGCAAAGTAAAGCCCAGAAGACATGGTCCCCTGGAGGCGATAGGCCATGGAGTCCCTACATGCGCTGCCAGGCGCGTGGTTTGGGGGCTGCCTCCTGCATTCCTGTAGGCCTCAGCTTTGTGCTTGGGGAAGGCTGAGGGTGGGCTGAGGGGGCCGGGCTGGGACTGGACAAAGTATGGCAGTGTCCAAACACCTGGGTTTGTGTTCTGGCCCTCAAGAGTCCCTGAGCCCTTCCAAGCCTTGTTTTTTCCCCTCTATGGAATGGAGATAAAACTTACCCTGCACAGTTGTGAAGATCAGAGTGTGGCCCAGCCTGGCACAGAGAAGGGTTGTTGCAAAAGAATGAACCATTTAGGCCACCACCTCCAGTCCCAGAAAGGACCACAAGTCTTTCCTGGCCATTTGGGGATGCTTTTTGTCTTAGGCAGATAGCAGGGGAATTGGAAACCGTGAGGCAGGCAACCTGCTCATATCGTGGGACACCAGTGCTGGTCTGTCCCAGCCCACAATTTGCCAGGGCCTGTGGAGATGGGCAGGGGTGGTTCAGGGTGAGGAGGTAATCTCTGTTCCCTCCCTCATGAGAATGGCTTTTCTGGGAAACCCTCACAGGAGTGTCCAGGACAGTAAGTACATCTCAAGGGTGGTGGGGAAGGGTTGAAACTGCAAATTCCACCTCACCACACTCCATCTGCAAACCTGCTCCTATCTCTATGGCAACCACAGGGCTTCAGGGCTCTTGGACACTGGTTCAATTCCTATGAGAGGAAGGACCCCAGGGTCCAGCCCCTTCCAGCCCCAGCAAAGAGACACTGGCTTAGGAATCAGCTTCAAAGTCAGAGACAGCAGAGGGGAGGTGGGAGGT